AACAGGAAGGACAGATTAGGTCATAGAGCTGGGGGAGCTGTATTAGGGCTATACTGTTGAGCGTTCTGATCAGGAAACGGATATTGAGTCCAAAACGTTGAAGGAGATCAAAGAATCATCTAAGCCTAATGAGGTAGTAATAATGGGTGAATTCAACTACCTTCAGCTGATCAAATATCACACTGGAATAGAGCACAAAGGAAGCAATTTCTCATCACTCTGAGTGATTGCCTTTCTGAAACATTTAGTTCAAAAATATGGACATGGAAATTCTTGACTTAAGCAACATAGAGGAATGCAGGTAAGAAACTCTTAACTCCTGTATCAAAACAAACCTTCTTTGGTTTAAAATCATGGCTACTGTAAAATTAAATTTAATATTGAAGAGCCAATAGCTAGTTGTTGTTATGTCCTGTCCCAGCATGAAATGGTGATAAATTTCAAATATGAGAGGTAGATGCAGGTAAAGTGGAGATATATGTGATTAACTAATACAATACTTAGATACAGTAGAGAGATCATATTACCTTCTCCAGATGAGCCCTGTATGTTAGAATCTGTGTTTGGAAAGAAGAACAATAAAGTTATTAGTGATAAAAGACAACTTTGGCAGCAGAACCTGAAAATACTGGGATTGTTGCATGGAAAAAAGGGGAAGGGGTTTGCATGGTGACATGCAAACTGTTCTGCTGTGTAACAGCATTCTAGAAATAAAAGACCAAGCAGAACCAGGCATCAGATGGGGATATGTTTAATATCCCTTTCCAATTTCAAATGAGTTAACGTATTTTTATTTGGAAAGAAGTACTTTTAGGATGTGGAATGCAATTCCAATATGGCATTGTGTTCACAACACGCGCTATTACTTCTTCAGGGGGTGATTATGGCCACAGCTCTCTGTTCAGCATGTACAGGGAAAACTATTATTATTTTTTTGTGGTTTGGAGGCACAAGTAGTAATTACATTTACCAACAGCCAGCTATCTTGTGGCTACAAAAATATGGAGAAAATGGTTACATCATTTCCTTTGTGGCCCTAAAAACCCTTTTCGCTAAACTCTTGATGAAACTGTGAAACCTGTAGAAATGCATATTTTTAATGTATGGCTATACATTAAATAGAACTTTTAACATTTGGATCAGGGAAGGGTGTAGGTGGGGGCTGACAAGGTTTAATATGTTTCTGATTCCACCATCTCCTTTGATTTGGATTTGTAAGCTGATTTTATCTTAGGTAGAACAGATTTGAAAGCTTGCCGGCAGTTCTGAGAGAAACGGTGTTATTGGTGGTTAGTTAGAAGCATTGTCAGTTACATCACAGTTGAAGTGACTAATGTGATATGAAATGTACTTTATGATAATCCCAGAATTTGCCAGATGTTTATTATGTGGCCAACCACTCTAACATCCACATGAGAAAGAGCAGACACCATGTTTCTGATTCTTCTACCTGCCATTTGTGCTGTTGCGTCAATAATACAGTCAATTATTTTTCATAGCATATAAGAGGGCCATTCATTTTGAGGGATAAAAGGAAGAATAATCTTTTTAATAATAATATTCATGATTGAATTTTGTTTCACAACTTTTGTTACTTATAGTCTTTTTATCAAATGAACCCTTTTTTATATGTGTTATCATATTTATCAAGAGAATGACCCTCATCAAGCAACAGATATTCTTACAAGTTGTGGAGTGTCCAAGAAAAAAACTTCCCAAAGCCATATCCTGCATGTAGTTTTCCTGTTTTTTAGATAGATAAACAGATACTCATGCCTTGGTCTCAAAGAAAACCACCATACACATTAATATCTGTACACATTAATATCTGTCCCAAGCTGTCAAAGATAAAGTCCCTGCTAGAATCTAGATTTTGAGCCTTGCAAGTCTTTTACATGAAGGTGGAAATAAAAATGGTTTCTGCAGCCATTTTGCTTTTCATTTCATAATTATATTTCTTTTGTAATTAATTTTATTATAAATTTTTTATTCCCTTATATGTCACTTAGTTTTAAAGTAAGACTCAAGAGAGACTCAAATGCTGAAAGAAAAATTGCAGTATTGAACTGAATGTACCCACTGGTAATATATAAATTAACACAGAAAAGTAGTGTCAGATGGATAATTATTTTGAACAAGGTGACAATACAAGGAATAACTGGAGTTAATATTTGATCCTCCTTGTGAAAGCAGCTGGATAAAGGATTTTAATTCTGCTGGTTATAAAAATTCTAACTACTTTTTAACTTGCAGTTATTAACATTGTTAGGGAAAAGAACAAAATTAAGCATTGAAATTATTATATCTGAGTTACTGTGAACTTCATAGCAGATGATGTAAGTATCCTCCACAGTTTTTCTCATGGCAAATTCAGAGGAAATGAAACAACTAAATATATATGATGAAATATGTTAAATTTCCCTTGATTTGCATTACACAAGTAAAGTGTTAAGATCTTTGCTTAAAAGATTCCATATGGACTTCCTTGCATATAGTATTGAGACAATAATATTGAAGTAATTTTTAAATTATTTTATTCTCTCAGGTTAGAAGATGTAATCATATGAATTGCTCCATTTGCTGTAGTTTGAATAAAGTCATGTAGTAACCTATACTACCTAAGTAACTTTAAAATATAGTGAATTCTGTTGTATTTATCCATCATGAAGCAATATTTTCTTTTTATAACATGGAAAAATCTGAAACTGTCTGTATATACAGTAGAATTGTAACAACTACTGATGGAGAATTACATATATTCTGCATGAATTATATACAGTATCTATAGACTTTTTCAACTGTCAGTTCAGTCTGCAAGAAAATACAATTTTTTTAAAGAAAAAGATTATGTAACAAAAGTTGATGCAGGAATTTTTATAAAAGATGACACAAATCAGAGCAACTTTACCTTCTACTGATTTCAGTATAATTCAGAGACTTTTTTACTACTTCATGTTGTGCATTTTTTTCCTTCTTGCAAATAGAAGACGCTGTTCCATTACAGGCCTAAGTGTCAGGAGAAAAGAGATAATCATGTATGAAAAAGAAAAAAAAATTCTACATGAACATGTCAAACTTAACAGTGGACGCTGCTAGTACTATTCTTGAGAAAAAAATTATAAAATGGTGACTTCAGGTTTTCTTTACGCTATCCAGTAGACAGACAAGAGAGGTTTCTTCTTTGATCTACAAGATGGCTGTATTTGGAATAAAAGGGAATGGTGTCGCAAAAGCCTAGAACCAGTTAGGTTGGAAAAGACCTCTGAGATCAAGTCCAGCCTATGACCAGACTTTCAATACTGTTGATCAAGGGCATAACTGGAAAGATTCTAAATATGAGTTAAAACAAGCAATTATATTTCCTAATTTCTGTCATTTGGAAAAAAATTCTGGATGTCTCACTTGAATGTCTACCAAAATTGCCGTTAAACCTTCTGAAAGAGAAATAGAACTAATGATTTGGGATACTGCCAAACAATTAGACCAGTGAACAGACCTTGTTCTACCAGCATCTATTATTGGAAATATCTGGATTTACAAATGTCAGCTAAATAGGCTTACCCCACAAGCTAAGAGAAAGCTGACCTGACCTCTTGACACCACCTGTTCAGGAATGGGAATTTCTTAAGCAGGCTATTCTACACAGATAAAAGGTTCACAAAATTTGACCTGGAAAGAGTGGTTAAAGGAATTAGTTTTGTTTAGTCTAGAAAAGAACAGACTGAGGGAGGATGTGATTACAATCTTCCAGTACATAAAAGAATGTTATAAAGATGCTAGTGATTGGCTTTCTGTGGCCAGTTGGGAAAAAGACAAGAATAAAAATGTCCCATACAAAGGTATTTAGATTATATGTTAGGAGAAAAAAATTCTAATAATAAAAATAGAGAATGTAGGGCACACTACTGGAGTAAATTCTCATCTCATTAACTGGAAATTTTCAAGAATACTTAAGACCAACACTTGTCATCAATAGTCAAGATTGCTAGTGTTGTTCATGGTGCGAGGTGAATAGGTAGATGTATTACCTGATCACTTAATAGTCTTTGCCCATCTTTCATTTCCTGCAGGTGATGCATTTGGCAAGGCACGCTAGATTTGTTACATTGGATATAAAAATAATTGCATAATCTAAGGCTTTTTATTTGTAGAGGATACTTCAATAACAAAATAAATAATTTCTTAAAAGAATTCTGATTATGTGATTAAGGTAACAGCATTACAAGGTTAGCAGAATAATAGGTAAGGAAATTATACAGGTTGATTATTGACTTTGCATGCAGGATTCTGTTAACAAGAGCAGTGAGTTTGCTAGTATGGATTTTTTTTTCCCTGTTACTTGAGTATCACACATTGTTTTTTGGTTGATGATAATAACAAGGAGCTGAAAATTGTGATGAATAATCATCCCATACAGATATACATGGGGCTGAAGCATGGCATACCCACTCAAAAGAACAGAAAACCATCAAATTTATTTCATCTTTCCTACATCCTTGTAAAAGCTATTAAGACAGCACTTCACAGTATGATCCATCACGAGCTCAAAAGCAACTGAGTAACAGTGAAAAAATAAACTAGAGAACACAGGTTATGTATAGACCTTTAGTTCACATAACAGATTAAAATGAAAGTGTGTGAAGGTTTTAATACTCAGTGTTGGTACCAGTTGCCTGTTGGTGGTTAAAAGTGTAACACGCTTGCAGCTCAGTTTCTTATGTTTGATATTGGGTATAAGAGCTTAAAGATATGTTAGAGATATACAGTCTTACTGAAGCATTTATTTAGATGCATAAATAAAAAGTAGTGTCAAACATCAGGGCTTTCATTTTACAAACTAAGCAAACTACTTGAGACACATTTTCAGTTAGCTTCCTGTATTTTCAGTTGGTCTTTCAAAGAACATGATGATGTTATTCTCTTTTTCTCTCTTGAGTTTAGGAACTGATTATATTTTTTATTGCATACATGTTTTGTTTTGTTTTGTTTTGTTTTCCTAGGTACTGCACAATGGACTTGTGATGGAAATGAATCATCCAACAGCTGGGAGGATTGCTGTTCCAGGTTAGATGTTTAATCCTTTTTTTCTAAATTAAATGCTACATGACATCCTGAGTGGTTCTGGAACTCAGTTGAGGATATGATGCATCTTCACATTTCAGTCAAATTGACAGGCTGACATTTGTGCTCATAGTCATTCCAGTAGCAGAAAAACGGGTTAAAATGTGTGTCAGAATAGCTTCTGGTTTCCATTGGGCAGTTGTCATAAAACATGAACATGGATTTGATAATATTTGCAACTCCCACTGCTAGAAATATTACTGCTAAATCATCTACATGAATATGTGAATCTGTTTTTGATTTAGGTCTCTTTTGCAAGTTACACAGGCTTCTTTTAGGGACATTTCTGTTGTGAAAAAAAGTAGACAAAAGAGGAGGGAAATTTATACTGAAGACTTAATGAAGCTCAAGATGAAGTCTTAAATAGCTATTTTGTATTTCCAAAGAATACAGAAGTAATAAATTAATCTCTCCTCTTATAAGCTCTAAATGGATCAGGAGCTGGTGTAGCTTTCCTTCCAGTAGAATTAGTTATGAAATGGTGTTAGATTTATCCAGAGCCATTATGAACATTCAGATCCTTGCAGTTGGCTCTGTTTTGACCATTGATCCTTATCTGACAATCTATTAACTATTGGGTCAACTTTTCCTGCTTCTCTATACTTTTCTGTCTCCCAGACCATATTGAGAATTGTTTCTCTGTTCATTCAAAGCACCATGTCACGTCTGTTTTTATAAGAACTTCTTACATTTTGATTTTCTGTGCCAGTTCCACCCTCTGACACAGCATCCAGTTGTCATCAATTTCAGTTGACTTGAGCACATGTAGTGTTATGCAGAATTTGACCCATAAAATTTATCTTAATTTGCACATCCTGGAATCACACTGGGATGCAGAAAGAATGATTTGAAAGAAACCAATCCCATATTAGATCATGTTTTCTGCATGAATAGAGGGGGTGTTTTTGTGCATCTATGTGTATGCTCCATATTTGCTCTTTATGACAGTTTACATTCCCCATTCCAAGTCTCACTAGGCTTGGATGATTGGTTGATTGTATTAAAAATGCTTCTCTAATTTAGATGCACATATCTGGAAACAGTAATTCCTTTTTTAATTTTCTTACAGAAAGACAATCCTGGTTTATTTATCCAAAATTAAAAGACAAATAAGAGATTTTGATTTAATTCTTTTTAAAGAAGTAGACAGAAAAGCCTTGCAGATGGTAGAGGAAGTGTGTAAGGTTTTCATGTTGCATACAGTGTATAATCTATCTTAGAGAAAGCGAATACTCCTTAAGGGAATAGGTTAAACTGCAAGAAGAGGAAAGAGATGAAAGGAATGTTCTAATGTCTGTCAGCAGCGATAGAAACTATTGGCAAGAGAATTAGTTTTTACATAGGTAAGCCATAGTACTTTCCAAATCCTTAGTTATTTTTTATTTTATTAAACTAGTGACACTGTACTAAACTAAAATAAATCATCTTAATCTCTAATGGTTTGCCATTTAGATGGACTTCTGTGAAGAGTTTCTTGTATTGAAGCAGATGGCTGAAATGATTATTGGATATTTGAGCAGGAAAAGTAAAATTCCTTCCCTTCCTGGCATGGGAGGATAAGGAGGGGAGAGACAGGGGAAGGAAGAGTGAAGAACACTCATTTAGTGTGAGTAGAATGGACCTATTGATATCACTGAAAAGACAGTGCATTACTCTGTCCCAAAATTGAAGTGCATAAGTGGGTTTGGCCACTGTTGATGGTAGGTAATGGAAGTATCCTGGAAGTTCTGCTTGGTGATGTACCTGAAGAGTACTGGGAAGAGTGTGCTGAGAAGGCCTCCAGTAGATAAGCTTCTTCTCAACGACAATTTAAAATAGAGGTTTTTCCCATGTGATTATACTTTAATATCTTGTATTTGGTAGAAAACAGCTCTACTAAGTGCTCAGTTTCTGCCTCAAGGTTGCTTATTAAGGGAAATTAATATATTAATTAATGTTGAATTAATGTTGAAACTGAATAGGCTAAAAATATCTGTCTTTAAAGAGACTAGGGAGACTCTGATCCCAAAATAAAAATAGATTACTGTTATTTCTTAGCCATATAAGCCAGATTTTAATGTGTCTTTTGGTAATTGAATTGGACATGACATTTGAGGCTCTTGACAGAGGTCTGACTTGTGCTGCCAAGTAAAGTTGTGAGTGCAGTGACATGCACTTCTTAAGTGAAAGCATACTGGCAGGTTTCAGCTCTAGCATGCATCTAGCATGCTGATTTGCAGTAGTCCTCCTCCAGGCATGTCCCCAGTTGAAGAGCTGGTTCAAATCTGTGTGTGAATTCTCCATTGTAAATCTTGCAGCTTGAAATTTTGAGGGATTTTGCCATTAACTTTAATGTAGGCTACATTTTTAAAGTTGAACTTGGTAATTCATAGTTCTCCATTGCTTGAATATCTTTTGATATGGTTACTGAATTTGGTTCTCTCCTCACCTTGCAGTTTTTAAGATTCCCAGCCTGGGGTTGTACTGTGCGCTGATAAGTGCTTCACTGGAAACTGGTGAAACACGAGCAGGAGAAGTTGAATTACAAAAACCATATTTCTACTAATTTTTCTTTTCAAAATGTATATTTATGGTATCAGAGAAAGAGACCTTGCATTTTGATAGCTCTTATTTCAAGTATTCATGAAAAACGTCTATGCACATATACGCTGCTGTTACTAGTATCAAGATATCTTAGATTGAAGAATGGATGTGAAAAAGAGATTTCATTGTCTCTGACTAAGAGTGACTGTATAAAAGATTGTGAGAACATTTTGAAGAAAATGTGGTTCTGTTGCAGTTCAGTGATTAGGATAATGTTTCATATTTATAATTCAGTATATTCATTCCATAAAGTTATTCTAGAACTGACTTATATACATATACTTGACATATATTGTATAGAACGTGCAACACTGTGGGAGAGCCTTGCTTGAGTCATTCTTCCCAGGACTGGTTCATCTGATTACAGGGCTCAACTAATGAATCTCCTCTGTCTTTACATCTGAAGTCAGCTTAATCATCTGCCAAAGATGATCAGGAGCTGGAGCACCTCAGCTGAAGAGGCTGGAGGAGGGGCAGGAGCTGGTACAGACTGGTGGAAAAGGTAGCCTCAGCAGCTCTCCAGTACCTACAGGAAGGTTATCAACATGGTAACTTCACAGCAGTGCATGGTGGGCAGATGAGAGACAAGAGATTCAGCCTATATATAAGGAAAATCTGTTTCATCATGACAACAACCAGGCAGTGGAGCAGGTTCCCAAGGAGATTGTGCATGCTCTGTTCTTAGACATTTTCAAGCTACAGCTAGATAAAGCCCAGGGAAACCTGTCTGACCTCAGACATGACTCTGACCTGATCCAAGCAAGAGCCTGGACTGGAGACCTCCCCAAGTCTTTTCCAACTTGGATTATGTTCTTATTCTGATTAAACTTAGTATACTGTCTTCCTCAGCTCTGTTGTGCTTAGCCCTTTCCATAGAGGTCTGAAGGAAAAATTATATAGTTTAATGAAATTGGGAATGTAGAGCACAGAAAGTACTTTTGAGGGTAAAAAAATTATAGGGGAAAGATGTTTTATACAGTGCCAGATTGCAGATGATGCTGGATGGCACAGAGACAGTACAGCTAACTGAAGGGACAACATTTCAAGAAGGTTTAACATCTGGGTTAGTCTGGAAATACTTTGCCAAAGAGTAATGGACTTTTATGAAGTTTGGTAGCATGTGAATTTCTAGAAGCCACTGAGTGTTCTGAGTGGAAATATGGAGCATGATGGGTACCAACCCATACTGATTATGTAGAAAAAAATACAATGCAATCTTTTCCCAACCTTTTCAATCACCATCTATTTATATGGTTTAGAAAACTCAGATAATAATATTCCCAACTTCTGCATTATCTAGTCTCTAATGTTGGCTTTTAAAGGCTGCCAGTTTTTTTTTTAAAGTCAAAACAGTGTTTGCAATATGATTTTTTTTTTTATGAAAAAACCACAATGATTTCAGCTGTCCCTAACAAACTAACCTTTGTAGAATTTATTAACTAGCAGGAACCTCTGTGAACTAGACCTCATTTCTGACCTCTTCTAAGCCATAGAGAACTGGGGATTTGGATATAAGCCTGCACTTCAGAATCATCTCTGATCAAACAGGAAACAATATAACTGTAGAAACAGTGTAAAACACCTCTTCCAGACAAAACAACTATTCTTAGTTTTGATAATGTTTATATTGTATGTTCTCCTCATCCCCATTTCCTGAGTTGATAAACACCATCTATGTCTGTCCTTTGGCCCATGGTCTGCATCAAGAAAAACTTTATTGCTCAGAAAGGCCAATTTCTTACCTGGCTTCATGATTTCCTTCTGTACTCTTGAGATAAGATGTTTGGGGGACTGCTCCAAGCTCAGTTAAGAAAAGCTGTAAACCTGACATAGATTTCTTGGACTGAATTCAGGCAACTTTATATTAATTAATCAACCCACTCAGGAGAGATGTCCCTTTTTCCGGTATTCTCCTGTCACTGTGCATTACAAATATACTACTGAAACAGGAAAGACATTTTTTTCCAGAGGTAGGCTTTTCCTGTTGTATGATTCATTAAATGGTGTCATGGTTCCATGGAGATTAATTGTCATCAATCTCTTATAAGAATGGTTTAAAGAAATAAGATGAAGAAGCAAGAAATCTAATAGGACTTCCTTACTGTGCCACAGATTTCTTCCTTAACCTCAGACAAATCACTCTCTGTGTCTCACCTTACTAATTGTTTGCAGTTTTTCAGACCTGGGTTCATAGTTGAAAAATACTTTGAATGCTAAGGGAAGGAACTTGTTGGGAAAACTCCATGTGTTATTTTAAATATGTATTTCATTTATTATGTATGCATTTGTACTTACTTTCTTCATATATGGTGTTGCCTAAATGGCTGTGGGGAAAAAAAGACTCCAAGCCAAATTAGGTA